TTGTTGTCAGTTTCTCCAAATACTGGGTGACCCTTATTAGCTTCCAAGATCTGGTGCATTTGGGGTATTTAGGCCCCAGTGTATCACCTTCTGCAATGCAAAAAATTGGGAGATAGAAGGAAAATCCCACGGAAGGGGAAGAACAGAGTTCTTATTTGTAGGGACAATACCCTCGCTTTATTCTCCCTAAACTACAATGCTGATCAGTGGCCTGGAAATATCTAGCATGTCCATATCTCCATCTCAGTATTGGGAGCACGAAGGCAACAATCCCAGCTGGGTTTGGTGGTGGAAAGGCTTTAGTCTTCCCCTCCCCAAGTGATCATGAAACAATAGGAATTGCTCTCCAGTTTTAGTGAGAAAATTGTTGGTGTGTTACATTTGCAGTTGAACTTTCCAAAGTGGTTCCAAGGAAACATAGACAAGATCTGCCAGCTATTCACAGCCTTATTCTCAAATAACTTCCTTCATGGTTGCTTGACTTTTTGTCCACCCGACACCATCATGGTGTAGCAGGAGCAGCAGCAAGGTTCTGGCCCTCTTCTCAGAAATGAATATCTCATAATGAGAAAAGAGCTTCTCGAATAACTCTTTTGATCATATCTACATTACACTGTATGTTGTGCAGTTTTTAGAAGAAGTAAAATGAATGCTCTCTTTTTTTTCCCGTACTTTATTTCAGAGTTTTTGTATTGGCTCTTAGTCCACCAAGGACCGCAACATGGTGGCACAACTGTTTTTGTATAAATTAAATAAGTGCATAACAAACTAAAAGCCCTTCTTAAGAATAAGGCTTGCATTCAGTAGAAAGAGAAATAAAGCCGAAACAACAGTTAAATTGGCTTATAATATAATCATATTCCAGCGGTGGAGGGAAAAACATCCTAACATGGGTTGCTCCTTTGTGTCACGTCAATCAGCAGGAGTCAGAAGCTGGAAAAGAAACCTTCACTGTCTCTCAGCCAAATTCCAGCTTTTGCTTCTATGTAGTAGGCTGTTGTTTGAACTGCTTTTCTGCCCTTTTTCATTCTAGATCTAATTACAATCAGTCTTCAATATTCACTGGTGCTAGAGGCTCAGGGTCCCCATGAAAGCTTGCATTAAAAAACACTGAATTTCTTTTTACCTGGGAGAACACCTCGCTAAGAATCTGTAGGTCCTGCAGTGCGATTCTGTGATCAGCTTCTGATGGATGCTGATGATAAAGTTGCACTGGTGCACCTTAGAGATTCATAGAGAGACCATGTTAATCAAATCTGCAAATAATCAAATCCACAAAAGTTAAACCTGAAAATGTGGAGGAACTGTATTCACTCCATTTTTCCATTCAATTTCTAATCAACTGTAGCTTCCTGTCTGGGAAATTCTGAATGTCCCTCGCAGCATTATAGTGCTATAATTATATAGAGTTAAAAGGTCCCCCATTTATACTCATCCATTCACTTGCTCTAATGGACCTTAGAGTGCGTATGAAACTGGATCTGTGTTAAGGGAAAATGTCATTAAATTGGTGACTTCTAAGGAGGGAAAAGGGTCAAACTTGTTATTTGATGGGGCTGAAAGTGGGGTCCACATGCTCTCATGGTACCTTCTGGCTTAGTTAACTATGTTGCCCACACAACCTTTCTTCTTCCAGTAGATGAAGACTAGTGGAACAATAACATTGTGAGTAGTGGGAGATCAGCTGAAGCTGGTGGCTCCATAAGAGTCGAACCTGTTGTATGTTTTAACCTGAACTGTAAACAAACTATCCGAAATGCTGCACCCAATTCCCAAAATAGTTTCAGCACCTTGGATAAGTTCTTTAATATTAGTACAAAAACTAAGGGTGCATTTAGCATCCTGTTGATATGGAAACCACCAACCACTATGGGAAAAATACATGTTAACAAACATAAGCTTCACAATTTTGCATTTAAACTATTTATAGCAAAGAATAAAAAACGTAGATATTTTTTCTTTGTGGGAGAGATGACACAAATCTGTGTGTAATGTAAGGAGGCGAGTTCTAGACAGTGTAGTCCCAAAAGCTGTGTGGTTTTAATAGGACTGGAAAGAAAAATGAATTGTTCATGACTGTCAAATTCAAGGGAAAGAGGAAAAAATGTCTTTCCAGTGGTACCTCACACATATCAGTTTGCTTGAGTGGGATAGAGCATAATCATAGATGTTATGTGGAAATGGAGAAAGCACACATAGAACACCCCTTGTTAGTTGTCTGGTGATGCTGCCTTAGGATGTATCTACACTGAAATGCAGTTTTTACCACTTTAATATCTGTGGTTCAATGCTATAGAATCCTGGGGGTTGCAGTTTGGTGAGTCACCTGTATCTGTCAGCAGAGAGGCTAAAGATCTCAACAGAGTCCCCAAACTAGAACAGCCATTGGCGAGAGGGTTCTGAGAACTTGTATCAACAAAATCAACTTTTTTGAGACCTGAGTATTAGCCGACTTGAGTCCTCTTTCAGGCCAAGAAAGACAGGGTAGAAATGAAGTAAATAATTAATAATACATTAGTTTTGAAGTGTAAGTTTGTAGTTTTTGCCCTTAGAAAGACCCCTGTTTTTGTTGTCCAGTACCTCCTTTCACATGCCAGAATTATAGCACCATTATTCCACTTTGACTGCCATGGTCCCATCCTATAAAGTCCTGGGATTGATAACTTGGGAAGGACATTTAGAGAGCTTTTCTGATGTATATGGTCTAAACTCCTAATCCCAGAATTCTACTAGAAGCATGCATGGTAGTTAAAGTGCAATAAAATCACTATAATTGTACAGTGTGAATGAACCCCTGATATAGGCTGCTGTATGTTCAGGCATTGCTATTACCATTTGTCTTGAATAACAATGCCGTGATACGAATGAGAGGTGTTGTGGCTTTGGAATTAAATACACTCTGGGGTTTAATTTAATTTAATTTTAATAATGAGGTAAGTTTCTTTTTAAATTAACATTGAAAGCATGTAATCCCTAATTACATTACACTCTGAGATAAAATGATGTTTTCAAAGCATGATTTGTGTTCTGTATACTGTCCCTTATGCATGGTGAGATCAGCAATAGTGTGAAGCTTAGAGAGGATTAAGTACAAAGTTTGTAATAAGTTTTAGTTGTATGTTAACTTTTTTACCCTTGTTGCATCATATTTCAAACTTTGATTTGAAAAAGCAAATGTGATTTCCCCTCTTACTTCCTTTTGATCTGATTATGCTTTCTTAAAGTTGTGTTGATCTTGCATGTTTTAATACATTGTATGCAAAATGTTACTAATTGAAAGGGTTTGACATGCCTTCTACTAGAGAGAGAGAGTAAATGTATTGTGACCACAATATGTGTACACAAAATACGGAAGACTGGATTGTAAATCTGTGATGTATTGATAGTTGAAAATTGATGCCCCATATATACTCGAGTATAAGCCGATCCTAGTATAAGCCATAGCACCTAATTTTACCACAAAAACTTGGAAAACGTATTGACTCAAGTATAAGCCGAGGGTGGGAAATGCAGCAGCTACTGCTAAATTTCAAAGTAAAAAATAGATACCAATAAAACTACATTAATTTAGGCATCTGTAGGTTAAATGTTTTTGAACATTTACATAAAACTGTAATTTAAGATAAGATTTTCCAACTCTGATTAAATCATTCTAACCTTCTTCAATGTAAATGTTCTTATGTAACCTTCCAATAATAATAGAGTAAAATAATAAATGTACTAATAATAATAAAGTGAAGTAATAATGTAATAATAATCGAGTAAAGTAATAAATGTAATAAAATAATAGAGTAAAATAAAGTAAATGTAATAATAACAATAATAACAGAGTAAAATAATAAATGTAATAATAATAATAATAACAATAACAATAATAATAATAAATAGAGTAAAGTAATGTAAATGTAATAACAACAACAATAATAGTAATAACAGTAAAATAATAAATAAATTTGACTAAAGTGTATGTCGAGGGGGAATTTTCAGCCTAAAAAAAGGGCTGAAAAGCTCGGCTTATACTTGAGTATATACGGTATATATCATTACATCATACTAGATTTCACCAGCGAGCCTTCTGTTGTTCATACTTCTTTCAATGATAAATTTCTTGTAAATATTGGCGAAATGCTCCTAATGTGGCTGTCTTTAGCGACTTTCGATTTCAGCCTATGAAGAGATCCCATTTTAGATAATATTGGAGTAACTTGAGGTTTTCCTTTTAATATGATTAATCAATGCTTTGTTGAACCTTCTAGGATATTTTTCAGTACATAAAATTGATTGTTCAACATCTATTTAATAACTAACATTGCATTTACATCTAGAATCAATTATGAGTTAATTTGGCATGGCAAACAACACAGTGAACATTATTTATTCAGAAACATTGGATTGCTTGCCAATATGAAAATGTAAGCCATTCTCAATGGCTACTCTGAAAGGAACAGAAAACAATCAACGCTATAGATTACAATATATGTTTTGTGTCCCTTGGATATACAGGCCAAGCATCCTTTATCCAGAATTACAGAATAATCCCAAGATCCAAAGTTCATCACATGGGTAGCTGAGATAGCGACACCCATGGTTTCTAATGGTTGAATATACACAAAACTATTTAAAATATTGTGGATAAGAATAGCTTCAGGCTAAGTGTATAAGGCAGTAGTTCCCAACCTTTGGTCCTCCAAGTATTTTGGACTTCAGCTCCCACAATTCCTAACAGCTGGTAAGCTGGCTGGGATTTCTGGGAGTTGAAGTCCAAAACACCTAGAAGATCAAAGGTTGGGAACCACTGGTATAAGGTGTATATGAAACATAAAAGAATTTCACGTCTAGATTTGGATCTCAACTGTATACATGCAAATAGAGTTGTTGCAAAATCCAAAGAGAATTCAGTATCCGAAATGATCAGAAAAACAGTGCATGTCAAGCCCTTACTATTTTCAACATTCTAATTTTGCATATATAACTCTTTATGATTTTGTTGCATTCACTAGGTTTGCTGGTATGGGTAATCTTCTTAAAGTCCTTACCAGGGAAATTGAAAACTACCCACATTTTTTCCTGGATTTTGAAAGTAAGTTCAAAGATTGGAACGTCATTTTCCCTGATTTAGGAACTGGTTGAGAAAGGAATGTTTAAGCTTGATTTGCGTTGACAGATAAACATGTTCAAGCAATGCAAATGATCTAACCCAATGCTTTTAAGAGTTGTTGTCTGAGCACTTTTCCTGTTCCTTTTCTATTTTCCAGGAACCAAATGGGAAATCTTTTAAAAGTTCTCACTTGCACAGAGTTTGATCAAGGGCCATTTTTTTTCCTTGACTTTGAAAGTGAGCAAAACTCATTGCCTGGCTTGCTTCATTTTCTCGGGTTCTTTATCCCTGTAATAATTGCATGTGTTATTCCTCTTAACAAACAAGAAGTACAGTGCACAACACTTGTACTTTTCTTGCTTAATCCCAAATACTAGCTACTCAGCTTGTCGCAAATCCCAACTATTTTTTTGCTGTTCTTAAAGCACTAATTAAAAAGTACTTCACTATTCAACTGGCATTGGTTTATATTCCGGGATGGTAAATGTTTGATATAATGGTTTTGATATTGAAATATCCTGTTACTACAGTATAGCCTATATTCATGCTCCTGGATTTCACATGGATAAAAAAAAAACCATGGATAATAATGATGAGCCCTATTATTTTCAATGGGATAAATATCAGGTTATAACACATACAGCAGGGCCTAATTAAAAACCATGGATAAGTAAGACTGCCTATGTCATCTATATACATATGGGGTTGTACTGTATTTACAAAGAACAGAAAAGCTTAAATGAATCTAATTGGATACCATCAAGACCTACATTTCCTTCCTGGGTTTTCCCTGTAGGGACAAAGATGAACTGATCTCAAGGTCAAATGCTTGCCCTCCCTTACTCTGTCCTTACCACAGTCTGTGCAAATTGGTAATTATATTTAGCTTGGCTGTATTTGGAAGAGACTTTGCTTGGCTTTGCCCTTTTAACAATTTACTTAAATGCCTACAGATTAATAGAATGATCTTATGCATAGTATATATGGAAGGAGACATCTTTTTCTCTTACAAAGAAAGAGAGCCAAGTTCAGAGATTTCTGATACAGCTCTCAGATTTCAATATATTGCTCTTACATTTTCTGAAAGAAAATATTTTAGATATATCTGTCTATGAAGGATAATGCTAAATAATGATTAGTCCAACGCTGGGCAGTATAAGGCCTGCAGGACTCTTGTGACACCTGTACCCCATTTTTGTGGCCCTTGACCCCTCTGCCTGACCCAAAAGACTACCAATTCTGCAATCTTAAATTAGTAGAATTGTGGTGTGATTTGTAAGGCCTGAACACCCAATGGAAAGCTCCTTCAGATATGTGTAAGCAGACTCCCCTTCCTCACAATCAATCTGTTTTTGTCTGGATTCTTCTTAAAATTGGTCAACAGAAAGTGAAGTGACATCATTTCCATTCCTTACTCTGAGGAAGATACAGGTATCTGCGAGTGCTATGGGTTATGCGCCCCATAGTAGGTTGAAGGTGGGGGGAAATTGGCCTCTGGGCCTTGTACAGTTGCCTGCTATTGGTGTAGATGGCACTTTTTAAACTTTTTATGAATTTATTATGATTTTTTTTATGAATGCAGAGGTAGATAACCTTTTTCATCCCTGAGTACAGCATGGAGATTGAAGGGTCATAGGCCAGTTGTAGACACAATGAGTCCCCCGTAGGTAGGGACTGGGATCCCACTCCCAGCTTGTGGATCTGCTCTTATTCTCTCCCTGCCAATCCCATCTATGCATGTGGAAAGGAGGCATTTCATCTTCAATTCTTGCACGTTGTGCTCTTATTGTGTGCTTCTCCCAACTTCATGGTCCAGCTTATTGACACAGGGAAGAGCTAAGGAGCACATTGTGTGGTACATTTCTAAACAGCTGGCAGCAAGGAAGATAATCTGTTTATGAACTGGAGAAGTCACAGGTCACACATAGATGGGGTATATGCTGTCAATATGTGGTTCAATAGGATTGCCTTCATGAAGTGTAAAAAATATATAGCAATTGGAATGAACCCTTGGTTGCATTTTTGTTAGCTCTGTACAGATTACTTGGTGAAATATATACTCTGCATGTTAATTATCTAATCACATCTTGCATTGAATTACAACTAATGCAGGCTTTCTGCTTACTATCTATATGCATGTAGCTTGAGCACTGCCTTGGAAACTTATTAGCGAGTCCGCTAGACTCCCTTCATCCACTAAAGATATGTTACATCTGAGCTTTGATTCCTATATAATATTTTTTTAAAAAACACAGACAAGACAGGTGACTGTTATTTTTCAGCAAAAGCTGATCTATTTTGTAACTCACATTTTGTGGAAAGAACTTTGTAGCAGCTGCTTTGCTTGTTTCAGATCCACATCTGTTTTTCATTAATCAAAAATAAATACATAAATTTGCCTGAACATTTACATCCTCAAATCTTCCTGGTAATCTTGTAGAAGACTGCCTGTGGTCATTTGTAGATTTTTGGGGCCATTTCTATCTTGGAATTAAATAGGATAGTTATAAGATAACTGACCATTCATTAGCAAATGATTGGAAAAGTGGCTTTGTAAAGTGTGGTTTAAACCATAGGTCAAGGACTCTTGGTCTTCTGGAGGCTTTCCACTGCTGGAATAGCATGTCCAAAGTTTTTGCCACATCTGGAAGGCTAAATGTTTGCCATTCATGGTTTAAATGAGAGAGGATGAGTTTGTACAAAATTGCACTTCCCTGAAGAATACAGACCATGAAACATTAAATGAGAGTCCCTTACCAGTAGCTTCCTAAAACATGGGAAGTGATTACATAGCTAGATTGCCCCCAGAGCATGATCCTTTTTCTACAGGATATCTAGAGTATATGCTGAGAATCTGTGGTTCTCCAGTTCCCATCACCCTCAGTAGATATGAACACTAGGAAGAAATGAGGTCAACCTTGAGGACAAAACATTCCCCACCTTTGGCATGGACCATCCTAAAACTTGAATATCTCTGCTAGTGACAAGACTGTGGTTTGTCAAATATGTATGCTATCTTGATCTCAAAAGGAAAGATATAGACAATTGGAATATTGCATAATCTCTTGAGTATTCAGAAAAGTAAAGAAGGTGAAAAAAACTTTTCAAAAGTATAACTTCAACATGAATAGATTTTTCTGTTTTAAGGAGTTATAAATTGCCCGTGGCCTTCAGAAGTCAGTGGGGCATGAGAGGTAAGAGGGCGAATGCTTAGTGGACAAAGCCAGCACTTAAGGCAGTGGTTCCCAACCTGTGGGTCCCCGGGTGTTTTGGCCTACAGCTCTCAGAAATCCTGGCCAGTTTACCAGGTGTTAGGATTTCTGGGAGTTGAAGGCCAAAACATTTGGGGACCCACAGATTGAGAATCACTAACTTAAGAAAACAAATGGCGGAATGACTGCCAAATAAATAAAACCTAACATTTTATAGGGTAAATCTCTTGGATATATCTAACATGACAAATTGCTTGTGGTTTATTTCAAAAATACCCTCTCCCTCTCAAAAATGTCCTCCTTTGTAGAAAAATGGAGGTCAAAACTATTTTTCAGAACCAAGATGTTTTGAGTCCTGATACTTTTCAGTACAGTATGTTTGCACAAACCTTTCTATATGCAGGCAGTCCTCAGGTTATGAACAAGGTAGGTCTGTAGGTTTGTTCTTAAGTTGAATTTGTACGTAAGTCAGAACAGGTACATTTTTAAAGTATAACTCCTTCCAAATGCATTTTTAAAGCTTTGGATAGCATAGGAAAGAGTGAAAACCTCTGTGCGATTTCCTTTACTGTCTGTGCCCCTGTTCAGAAGATTTCGTCTTATTTTCGTTCCCAGAGATTATTGAATTTTGAAAAATTTGGCTGGTTGTGGAAACAAGGATTGGTGAGAAAGCTTTAGGGGAGGCACCTTTTCCCCATGAAAACTCTTTCAGGAGTGAATTCCCATTCCTAGGAGTAGATTTCTCTCACTTCCTGTTATCTCACCCCCATTTTTAACTATGAGTCATTTGTAAATTGGATGTTTGTAACTCGGGGACTTAGGACTGATGGCTGCTTTTCAGTTCGGAAGATTGTTTTAGAAAAGGAAAGAGGTAGAACAGAGCTTTGCTTCTATGGTGAACCTTTCAATTCTCTTTTTCTTTCTATTTTTCTTTCTCCCTCCTCCTCTCTTTCTCCTGATTCTCCTTTTCTTTCTTTTTCTCATTGTCGTACTTCTTCCTTTTTATCTTCTTTTCCCCTTCTCTCTGGTGGTTGAGTCCTTAACTGTGTGAGTTAATGGGCAAGTTTTGTCCAGGAGAAGTTACTTTTTGGAGTACAATTCCAAAAGCCCTGAGCAAGCATAAACCTTGCTGGCTAGGGAATACTGTTTGTCATAATCTGAAAAAGTAATGTTCTTCACTCTGGATTTGTCACCACTATAGCCATGTTTCCGATTGCTCTAATTGTCAGTTTCCATTGAACTGAGTGTCAGCTCTGAATAGGTTTGCACAGAAGAAATTGACTTCTGTTGGAAACATTATTTATGTGGAAATTAAACATATTCTCAGCCCCTGGCAATCTCAGTTGTTCAGGTCAACTCTTTCATTCTCGCCAGTTGTTCAGGTCAATTTTGGGTTCATATTTTCAGCCCACAAACATGATTAAAGACTATCTTGGGATGTACTGTTTCACTCCTAATTAGCTATCTGTACCATTTTACACATACAACATGCAAATGTGTGTGATAGGCATGCCTGTGTTCTAAAAACAGGATGACTTTTTCGGTATGCACTGATATTCAGAGCTTGGAGAGGTGAGGCTTTTTATGACATTTCCCAGAAATCCGTAGCTAACATGACCATTGGCTGGGGCATTATAGGAATAGTAAGCCAGAAAAATAACTTCTCCCCTGATGTCTGTGAAGGGCTTTTTAAAAATAATTCTGCTAGCCAAATTCTGACATTCAGCATTGCTGAAATGATGGGGCAAAATCTTAGATCATTTTAGGATCTGCAGTTCACTCTCCTAATGAAGGCCCCCTTTTTTTGCACCTGCACTGAATTCCATCACACTGAATCTTGTTAAAACTAAGGATCTCTCTAGGCCTTTTTAGACCTTATACCTGCCGAAAATTAATAACCAGTAAGCTGAATTCTGAACACTTAAGGCTATTTTGCAGCAGGCATTTTTCTCATAAAATGTGTACTGTTAGATTTTACAGCTGCATTTAAATGTTGGAAGCCTTTCATTTGATGTATGTGAAGCTGGAATAAACTTATCTTCAGGGGGAGTCCTTCTTGCAATCCCCAAAATTGATCTCCAAGCCTTGTTCCATGAAGGTTTTGGAATATTAAATAAACACACATCATGACTGATTTAGGGAACTTTGGATGATGCAGAAGGTTGCATATTGGGGTTTGTGCTTAGGGAATACATACATGCATAGAGCTTCAGAAAGTTCCCTCTTTTTGGACTGCAGCTTCCATAGTTCCTAAACCTATGTGTCCCTTGGCTACACAGGCTGGGACATTCTTGGAATTACGGTTCAGAAGACCTTGTCTAAGCTGTAGTCTATATCTCTGCTTTGTAAACTGTGGGTCGCGACCCAAATTGGGTCCCCTTAGCTCAGTGTTGGGATCCCAAAAAATTGACAACAGTAAAAGTTTTCTAAACATTACCTAGTGGCTGTTTTACATTTACACAAGTCTGTTGTGCACTGTTTGCAGTGGACTCTTGGACGATCCTTCAGCTGTACTTCATAAAAAGGAAAACCAGCCTGTTTAACAAGCTTTGCAAATGCTGGTTTGTTATTAGGAAATGTATGATTTTTTATATTTCTATATACCCATGGTCACATAAAAATTTCCTTGGTCAAAAGGGATCACAAGCCCTGGTCTATATACTACATTCTCCATTATTTTTACCACTGACCAAGCTCACTAAAACTAGGGCTGACAAGAATCAAATATCTCCTGTAGTGTTGTTTAACGTATTAGTCCATAGACTGATGGTAGCCCAAGAGCTATCTGCTGCTGGCCCATGGAGAATTTCCAGGAAAGAAAGAAATAGATTTAGTGATACTGGCCCTTGAGGGGTGGGGATTAATAGTCCTCCATATTCATTGATATAGAAACCATATGATATAGATAGGTATACTAAATACTCTACTAGAGTGGGAGGTCATTAATACACTGAATGTATTTTCAAAGCATTGAAGTATATGTTTTTCGCCATATTGAACCCTCAGTTTGAGTGATCAGACAAGGCAAAGTTAAGTAATTTGATTATTACCCACCAAGAGACCAGGGCATTGTTGGAACATGAGTGGTGTTGGTCTACAGCTCCTATCATGCCTGACCATTGGCTGTAATGGCTAGAGCATATGCAGATAAAATCCAGCAATAACTAGAGGTCCATGCATTCTTCTTTGTAGTGGAATGACCATGAATTCATGAATCTTGGAAAGCATTGGAATGCATCTGTTCCAGCAGATGCATTTGTGTTGTGCCTTTACTGTAGTTCAGTTGGAGCAACATAAGCAACAACTGGGCAAGGAGGGAAGTGGATATAGCCATTAGCTGCCATAAGAAACTTATTACCAAAAGGACTCTTTTCCTAAATGTATGGATCAGGCATGAAACCCACTGGGTGATCTTAGACAAATCACACTCCCTCAGCTTCAGAGGAAGGCAATGCCAAACTTCTTGTGAACACACCTTGCCAAGAAAGCCTTATGATAAGATCTTTGTGGGGTTACTATAGGCTAAAAACAACTTGAGGGCACAAAACAACAACATTCAGGGAGTGGGTGGTTTTGGCTTCCATTTGTTTTGGAGATGTCAACAATAAGCTTCCTCTATTTGTGTGCTGTGGTTCTGGGAAAGATCATGAATCCTCTCTCAGAACTCACCCCAGGAAGCCGTAACTTACTTGGAAAAACCAAAGCAGGTACATCTAACTGAAATTAGTGCTCAATGTGTAGGATTCTGGCAGACCTCTAGTTCCAGACATTTTCCAGATGATGTAGACTAGCCATTTGTCCTAGATTGTAGCCCTTTCTGAAGGGTTATCCAGTTTAAGCCCTGTTTAAAGAACAATAGGAAATGAGAGTAAGTGTCTTGAAATTGCCCATTGGTAGTGAGCAGTTAAGCTCCCTAAAGGCACCAGACCACATCTGATTTTGGAAGCTAAGTAGAGTCGGCTCTATTTTAAGAAGCATAGTTGCTTAGGAAAATCTCTTTTAATCAATGAGTATTTGTTGATGTTGTGAAGGGTGGACAGCTATCTTTAGCAATAAGATTTGCTGGTGATTGATCTTTTATTTGCGGTGTTCAGGCATGCATATAATATGGCATTAGAAGATGTAACACAGAACTATCTTAAATGGGGATTTTTTTATTTGCAGTTTCTAGCATTATTTTAAGTTATAGGAATGTGTTAAATAATATATCCAGCTTCTGGACTGAATGAGATTCGTGATCTCTTCTTAGTTGCAATTTATTTAAATTAATTGTTGTCCATTTGTATCTCTCTGTAAATAATCTTTTTTATATCTTCTGTCTTTTGGAGAGTAGAACAGAGAAGTAATCCCACAAATATAAGTAATCCTACTTAGGTTTGACCTGAAAACCAAGGTATCACCTGAATTGTCTGTTACCTAATGAAGCATAAATCAAATAACAGTCTGCTGTAATCTGCAGAAGTTAATTGTGTTTGTATACCTCTGCCAACACTTATTAAAATACATGTTTTATGTGTTTTGCTTAGATGCTCAGCCGTCAGATGGAGAAAGGGAAGTATGGAACCAAGTCAATGCTGTCTTACAGGATTCAGAAAGCATGCTCTCCGACTTGCAGTCTTACAAAGGAGCCGGACAAGAGATTAGAGATGTGCGTTAAACTGTACACCGACACCAAATCTTTTCTAAAGAGAAGGAAAAGATTTAAACAGTCTGAAGCGTTTCTTTCTAATTTGCAAATTCAAATACTGACTGAAAGATTGTTTTAATGTTTATGTTCATAAGCGTACAGTTTAAAACTGCAAATTATGAAAACTTTTAAGTTCATAGTGCAGATGTCATTAATAAACAAACACATTATTTTCTAAAATAATAATAATAAATTTTATTTATTATCTATCTCTCTTTACTACTCAAGGCATGGCACAATGTAGTGAAGTCACCAAAACAATAACCCTATTCAAACATGTGCCAATATTCCTTATATGTACTTTATATACTTATGTATAACTTTAGAAACTGTAGTCATAAAATCACTCCAAAAAAACCTGGGTTGACTTATCCATCACTCAATGTAAGTTATATACCTTAATGTCTATCAAAAAAGGAATCGCTTAATGTTCAGGGTAGAGTAGCAAAAGATGAGAGCTTACCATCCCATGAGATCTTAAAAAAATCACTCATCTCCTCAACTTTCCCTGGCATGGCACTACATCTGGCTTTTTTGAATGACTGGGTAGGAAAGTGGCAGAAGCTCTCACAGTTCTTTGGCACTTCTTCTCAGAAAACTGGGGGGGGGGGGGGGGGGGGGGTGAGTGCTGCTTTTAGGATCTTCCAGGATGGACTAAGTTCTCATCTTCTGCCACTCTCTGTAGAATGATCTGCAGTTTATCCATAAGTCATTTCAAGATCCACAACTTTGTCCCTCAAATTTGCCCTTGATTTATATATGAGATTGATCTATCCATGAGTATATACAGTAGCACCAAACTCAAGTTGACCATACTTCAATTTACACAGTATGTATGTGGTACAAATGTTGATCTGATGTGGTTCATCTGTACCTGAAAGTTTTGAGAAGTAATTTTTGTTGTTCTTTTTGTTGTTGTAAGACTGCTACTATTAATGACACAAGTAATGAGTGGTAGAACCTATTCACTTACAATGGCAAGAACGTTTGTAACATATGTTCCAGGGCTGCGGTAAACTTCAAAGATAGGCTTTAACAAAGCTTGATGTGGTGATGTAGGTGCCTTTTTATTTTAATTCACAGAACCTTGTGATTGATGATGTGCTATTAATATATAAAGTACTAATATATATATACTACTTTACAGAATAGCATTGTAAGGAGGGGGTGGATGGGAGACATATGATAAGGTTTTGCCCTATGAGCTTAAGAATGTAAAGGGGAAGACAAGGGGGTAACAAAGAAAAACACTTCTATTGGAATAGTTAGCATCCTCCTTCTTCTAAATTTGGGGTGATTCACATTGTCAGGAGGCAAATGTTAGTGACGAGTAAGTGCAAAGTTGGTCAGTCATAAAGTAGGGTTCATTTTTTCTCTTTCTGATATCCCCCTTCCTTCCTTCCTTCCTTCCTTCCTTCCTTCCTTCCTTCCTTCCTTTCCATAAGTTGAAAGTGAAAGGATCCATCACTTTGGGTGATGGTTTGATGGTAGGTTTGGGTTGCATAAATTTAGTCCTGCAGCCCACGAATCCCCATGATTTTGAGACATTTTCTTTCAGGTATACTAAAATATGATGACAGCTGTGTACCTTTCTTTTGGCTGTTTTATGTAACCTCATCTTTTTGATATTGCTCAGATGCTATCCATCGGAATAATGCATATCCGCCATATATATAAATGTATGCATGTGTATATGTGTGTGTGAATGAATGAAATGGATGAAGTTCTCACTGTTGTTTTCCAGGCGATACAAAATCCCAATGATATCCAGCTTCAGGAGAGAGCCTGGAATTCAGTGTGTCCTCTGGTTGTGAGGTTGAAGAGGTTCTATGAATTTTCCCTTCGACTAGGTGAGCAGCTACCTGGTGGCATCAAAAGGGTGTAATAGCTTTTAAATGTTTAGGGTGTAATAGCTTTTAAATGTTTAGGCATCATTTTCTTGCTTACAGATGGCTAACACAGCATTGCTCTTCCTAAAGGTATTAAAGAGATTTTTAAGATGAGATGATCCACATCTTACAGGCATTCTGTTTTGACGGAAAGGCTCCTGAATGTGTTTGTTTTTCTGTTTTTGTTGTTGTTGCTTAGATTACTACACTTGTGCGTTGTCCTGTTTTCTTGTCTAGGGGCTTACTGCTAATCTTAAAAATCTCTTTAATACCTTTAGGAAGAGTAATGTTGTGTTAGCCATCTGTAAGCAAGAAAATGATGCCTCTTTAAGACTCAGGTTTAGAAAACTAGAAAGAGGCCACAAAATAGCGACGTCTTAAAAATATAGCATAGCATTTCCAGAAGAAAATGCATGTTCGTCTATGGTGACAACAATCTTGTGGCAAATTAATGCTAGTTCATTTATTATAGCATAGCTTTCTTTGGAACAGGTTTCACTGAATCATTTTCATATGAAAAAAGTATATTCTATTTCATGAGAGTTTATGCTATAAAACAATTTCTTACTGTTTTTTAAGACACCCGAACTCAGAAACTCAGGCCATTGCAGAAAAACAATTGGATGATGGCCAGTTCGTGCATAGCCCAATCGTCTAGAATCATGCAGAAATAAGTCAGGAAGATCTGCCTTTTCCTTTTTTTTTCATTTTAAATAGGCTTTTATTGGTTTTTTTTTAAAAAATCGACAATCAATTTGAAAGGAAAATAGGTAAAGTTAGAGCTGGAAATAGACAAGGGTGTCTAATATGCGCTGGGTCTAAGTAAGGCAAGCAATTCAGTATATATATTGAGAAAAGGAAAACACAGAGAAAAATACTAAAGATGTAGGGAAGGTAGTTAAGAAGTGAGAAAGTAGATATAGATCAGAACTAACACTAAGAGTAATTGAACAACTCAATGTACCTCCATATTTTAATTTGCTAGATTAACAGTAAATGTCATTTTCAGGATTAGGGATTCCCAGGAAATTATTTGATTTTCTTGTGTTTCTGTATGTAGAGGAAGAAGTGTTTCCACTTAAGAAGAACTTAACACCATACCCTTTCTTGCTGGATGTTCCCATATATAAATCTATACATTTTTATATATAAAAAAATTGACTCCCCAAATGTGGGTCAACTTAACCATAGGCTAATGTAAGTGTTATATTATTCCTTAATTTTTATCAAAAAGAAAACTACCATATATACTTGAGTATAAGCCGACGCAAATATAAGCCATGGCACCTAATTTTACCACAAGAAACTAGGAAAACCTATTGACTTGAGCAGCAGCTACTTGTACATTTCAAAATAAAAAAATAGATTAAAATAATAAATGGAGTAAAATAATGTAAATGTAATAACAATAATAGAATAAAATAATAAATGTAATAATAATAGAGTAAAATAATAAATGTAATAATAACAGTAATAAATAGAGTAAAATAATAAATATAATAACATAATAATAGAGTAAATATTGTATATATAAGAATAATCATAAATAGAGTAAAAAGAAATGTAAGAATAACAATAACAGTAAAATAATAAATAACCTTTACTCAAGTATAAGCCGACGTTGGGGGGGGGGGGGGTTTCAGCCTAAAAAAGGGTGAAAAACCTGGCTTATACTCGAGTGTATACAGCATCCCTTTCTTTGAATGGCAGCAAACCTTTTTGAATGCCAGGGCAAAAAATAAAATAAAAAAATGACAGCAATGGTTAGGAGCATCTGGCCTCTGACAATAGCATTCACATTTCCCCCTTTCTACAGAACAATGAGTAATGTCAAAATCCACCATTTTGGACCTAAATCCTGTCCTTGTCCTATACATGATGTTAAGTTATACATGAGTATATTACAGTAAATTATGTTACTTCATATACTAAGTAACTTAACCCCTCCTTGGGGATCCTCTAGTCTGTTTAGATTAAAATGTCTTTACACTTTTTATCAGTCAAGCAAAAGCTAGGCAGTCCATTAAAAATAACCCACTGTATTATTGACAAAGTTGTACTAAAGGCAGGCATATAGATGTTGATATGTTCTAATATGAGGGACTCTTTTCCCTGAAAAAGAAAGAGATAAACTTACATGTCTGTCTGTGTGTATATTGTTTTTCCCCAGAGAAAGCACTGCAGAGCTTACTGGAATCTTTGACCTGTCCTCCCTATACACCAACTCAGCATTTAGAGCGAGAACAGGCCTTAGCAAAGCAGTTTGCAGAGATCTTGCATTTTACTCTCCGCTTTGATGAACTCAAGGTTAGTCCCAGGAAGAAATAATCAGCTAAGACAGATATATCTCATTGCTTTATTCATTTTGAATGCTCTGGAAACTGATCTCCCCTCTTTTGTTTTCTTTTTTATTTATTCTCTTTTATTAAGATGAGAAACCCAGCAATTCAGAATGACTTCAGCTATTATCGGAGAACATTGAGCCGCAACAGAATAAACAATATGCATGTAAGTAATTTTGGAGGGCTGCACAACCTGTGGCTCTCCCAACTCCAGAAATCCTAGCTTTGTCCAATGGCCAGGAATTCCAGGAACTGAAGTCCAAAACACCTGGTGGGCCACAGGTTGTACAGGCCTAATGTATGTTGAGACTGTGGCCAGAATCCAATGCTATAGCTCCATTAATTCTCCATTGGTTCATGTACCCTACTTTTCTTGCTATGTATCCTAAAAACCTTATCTAGAGGTCTGGCAATTGCCCTAGAATAGCCTTTTGACCCTATAGAGAACTATAGTGGGAAGAAGAGGAAATATCTTGGTTCTGTATGCATGAATATGGTTATACTTGATTGGATAGGGAACTATCTTGGGTCTTGTATATGTAATTGTGTGGTCAGATTTTCGCAATAGCAAAAAGGGACAGCCACATAGGGTTGACAATCAGGAAGTAACTATTAACAAGTTTGTTCTAACTAAATACCAGTTGTAAGTCTTGACCTCAATTAACTTAGGCCCCTTCCACACATCTGAATAAAACCCCACAATATCTTCTTTGAACTGGGATATATGGCAGTGTGGACTCAAATAACCCAGTTCAAAGCAGATATCGTGGGATTTTCTGCCTTGATATTCTGGGTTATATGGCTATGTGGAAGGGCCCCCGGTCATGAGTATGTATGGATATGAACAAATTGTCCATATCCATACATTACAGAACAAACATATTTTTGTCTTTATGAAGGGCTCACATCCAAAAATACAGGATTTTTACGTATCTTGATCAGTCTATATAACAGGAAAAGTTTTATAACCTAGGCCCCTTCTGCACTGCTGAATAAAATCCAACATTATCTGCTTTGAACTGGGATATATAGCAGTGTGGACTCAGATAACCCAGTAGATATTGTGGGATTTTCTGCCTTGATATTCTGGGTTATATGGCTGGGTGGAAGGGTCCCTAGAAACCCCAATAAACTAATATAGGAAGTAGCCTTTCACTAAGTCAGCATTGATTGCAGTATCACTTGAATACACTGTTTACCTCAAGAGGAAACTTAGTAAGAATTGCAAGTTGTCTTTGAAACTTCTCTCTTGGTACATTCTGCTTCTTGTACTGAATGGGAATAGTATTCAGAAACAGAAATGCAGATTTCCTTTGTTAGAATCTGGCTATTAGGTTTAGGAGAACATTGTGGTTTGAACATGATGGTCTGGTGATTTGTTCAACTTACCTATCATTGTTCTGGCAGCCAATGTGATAGAGGCATTCTTTCATTTAAAAAAATATTCCTGTGTTTCTCTTATCAGCTCGACATTGAGAGTGAAGTGAATAACGAGATGGCTAACAGAATGTCCCTGTTTTACGCAGAAGCTACGCCAGTGCTGAAAACTCTGAGTAATGCCACAACACGTTTTGTTGCAGAAGTGAGTGGTGCTTTTATGGTTTTCTTTTTACATTTATTCAATTAAAACATGTTGATACCACTTTTCTTCAAAGTGGTTTGCAGTAGTGCAGCATTAAGAACAAAAATGAAATAAAATTTAATTGTGATTTTTTAAATTTTTTATTTATCAAAGATGGAGGCAAATTATGATGAATTATATTATGACTGGGGTTATTATTTCTCCTTGTTTGTTTTTAATCTCCATAGAACAAAACTCTGCCAATTGAGAATACAACAGACTGTCTGAGCACAATGGCTAGTGTATGTAAAGTCATGCTGGAAACACCGTAAGTTGTTTATGGGCACATATGGTTTCATTTTATTTATTTATGTATTTACTTTGATGTAATGCCTCAGAAAAATCTACATTTACTAAAAGTGGTTCTTTTATAACCTTTGGGAGTACCTTCTTTCTTAAGCTAGAAGCAGACAGAATATTTCAGAGCGTATGAAAGAAGCATTGTAGATCTGGTAGCCCACTTTCGTTTCACTATTGTTAAACGTTTTAGGAGGTTCTTCTTGTGCTTTGGGAAAATATACAAAATGCATGTGAACAAAGATATTTCATGCATATATACACTCACAGGATACCTTCAGAGGTTTGTCAGATGAGGCAACAACAACAAAAAAAGGTAACCAAGTGATGCACTCCAGTGTTTGTTTGTCAGAACAGCTTGCTGCAAAAGAAACCACTTCTCAATCTGTGACCACACCTCATGACTTTAAATGGGAACTGAATGTGTTAATGAAAAAAAAAACCACCTAGCTTACACTCAGCAGAATACAAGGACCTCATAGATTTGACATCTCACAGTGAACTAAAAATCGCGGCTCGAAACCAGTGTACCATCATTTCGGTTGCATTTACAAGACAAATTCAAAATAATGTCTGAGAAAGTACAATTACTATTCCCTCCTTTCTGAATTACATATCTCAGTGAAGTGGGATTCTCTGCCTGTACAGGGACCAAAACAAAATGCAGAAGCCATTTAAATGCAGAATCAGACATTTTCCTGCATTTATCATGAATTAAACTGAAAATAAGAAAACTGCAAAAAAAAAATGTAACCACAGGCGTCTCATCAAACCTTTACCTGGTTATTTTATATTATGTCCTAATTTAAGCCTACAGTTGCACTACAGTGCGCTCTACTTCTATTTTAATACAAATGGTTTGATTTCTTGAACTTTGGAATTTTTTATGTGTGGCCAAGTTTTGACAATATAATGTGTATTGGGGTTGTTGAGAATAAATTGAGATATTATGGTAAATTTCAAAGTTTTAAAAATACAATTTTATTGCATGGACTTTGTGCAGTTATTTAGATTTTGTTGTTTATTCATTCAGTCACTTCTGACTCTTTGTGGTCTCATGGACCAGCTCATGCCAGAGCTCCCTGTCATACTCCATCTTTTCCTCTAATATCTTATTTATTTACTTCATTTGTTGACCGCCGCTCTCAGCCCTAGGGCGACTCGCGGCGGTGTACAACATATAAAACAATTACAAAAGGCAAGAACAACAATAACAATAATACAGAATAATACAATTACAACTAAATGGTCCGCTTCGTCTCATCATAGAATCATAGCCAAGTTCGTAGTCTGTATTCCGTTCCCGTCGTCAGTTACCGATTGATAGCACTTATTTAAATGCCTTCTCGAAAAGCCATGTCTTCAAGCTTTTTCGGAAGGACATCAGGGAGGGCGCCTGTCTGATGTCAACAGGGAGGGTGTTCCTCCAGTGAGCAGCCAGGCATTACTTCCTGGACTGGTTTGATCTTCTTGCTGTCCAAGGCACTCTCAGAACTTTCCTCCAACACCACAGTTCAAAAGCATATATCTTCCTTCGCTCAGCCTTCCTTATGGTCCAGCTCTCACATCCATAGGTTACTACTGGGAATACCATTGCTTTAACTATGCGGACCTTTGTTGCCAGTGTGATGTCTCTACTCTTCACATTTTATCGAGAGTGGTCATTGCTCTCCTCCCAAGAAGTAAACGTCTCCTGATTTCCTGGCTGCAGTCTGCGTCTGCAGTAATCTTTGCACCTAGAAATACAAAGTCTGTCACTGCATCCACCTTTTCTCCCTCTATTTGCCAGTTATCAATCAGTCAGTTGCCACCATCTTGGTTTTTTAATGTTTTAACTGCAACACAGCTTTTGCACTTTCTTCTTTCATCTTGGTTAGAAGGCTCCTCAGCTCCTCCTCACTTTTAGCCATTGAATTGTTTAGATACCTCTTTACTTTACATTCCCTCGCTATTCCCTCTTCTATTCCTAAACACCATTAATTTGTAAAACATAGGGTAAGCCTAAGAGTCTCTGTCATAGAAACAGATTCTAAAAAGGGCTCTTCGTATCAAAAGCTTGGGAGCCACTGACTTAAAGAAAACAAAAATACTATTTCCAATAGCTTTTGCTAGCATTGGTTCAGTTATAATTATTAATATAACGCCTATTAAAGTTTTTGCTCTTCAGCTCAACACCAGATGGATCTGGATCCCAGAAAACTCTGCCTCCCCACTCGTCCTTACTGCCCCACATGGCAAAGCATCAGACCTGATTTTAAGAGTTACACCAGAGCCTCCTATTTCCTGTAACAACTGGACATGGTTATAGGCCTAGTGTCTGTGTGTCGTGATGGGATGCAGGATTCAGTTCCACCCTGTGGGAATCTGTAGAAACTGAGGATGGGTGGAGCAGTATGATTTAAAAATAGGGTTCCCAGGGTAAAAACTGGAGAGGGCTCCTGTCCCTTTAATGTTTATGCAAGAGAAGGAATTTCAGAAAAAGTTGCTTGTTGTCTGGTTGTGTGACAAGGGACACCTGCAGAAATGCCCTCTGCTACACAACCATTAAAGAAGCAGGAGCCTGCTTTATTTTTTAATGTGGCAACTCCACATTAAAAGGACAAAACTTAATCCAATCCAGCCATGTTTAATATTAATCCAGTCATTCTTGTGTGCTGCTTTGTTTTCAAAAGGTACCTTTTCATAGAAGGGAGGCAACAACATATAAAGATTGTCTTCCTCTATGTTGACAAGTACTGTGTAAGAGATTAATGCTTAAGTGAATTACACTGGGTCTCCTATCCATATATCTTTAAAATATAAATATTTAAACTTGTGAGAGGGGGGATGATGCAGCAGGAGAAAAAGAGAGGGGTCGGAGTTCTTTAAAACAGGTCACTTTCCACATGACTTACCCTTCCAGCCAGTTGTATATTTTTACAGGCTTTGATGTTTGGAGATTGACCATTCTGTCTGGGAGACCTAATGAACCCTGTACTCTTCACCCAGGCTGACATGACTGTATATAGACAGTGCAAACATTTACGCTTCATCTTTTCCTAACTATTTGTGTATTTATTATTCAAAGCATTTTTACTACACTCTGCAGCTGAAGGCATGTCCAGATTGGTTTGCAACGGTGCCATTTCCTATCTTCCCAGCTGCTTGAAATCTTAGTGCATACATCCATGTTTTGAATCTCTAACCGTCAGCATTCCTGTAAAATTGCCTAAAATAACAGTTTTGTGACACAAACTGCTGAAAAGTTCCTATGACAACATTTAAGTACTGAATATTTTAATTTCATAAAGCAGCTTATTCAGCAAAATAGTGAGATGTTCCAAAAGCAGGCTTTGGCGTGCTTTGAAGAGAGAGCATTGGAGATTTATGGTGTCTTTCTAGTACTTGTTTGATGCCAGAACAGGATTGGGCAACTGCAGGGAGGTGGGACCATTAACACCTCCTGGATTCCCTTGGGGGCCATGTAATACCTATTCTGGGATCTGCCCAAAATATGGCGAATTTCCACATTTATTTTCAGTTTTGAAATGACAGTGGGAAGACGGGGACTCAAACTGACATCGTGGTTTTGATTGATATTAAGAGGTTATTTTGGCTGGAGCACAGAAAATGCATGTGGCCTTAGGGCCACATTTTCCTTGATCTGTTGTAAAAGATACAATGAAGCCGTTATAAAGGCAAATTCATTTGTGAGAACAAGAAGCAAAGTTCCTAATATTACATTAGGTCTACAGAGAGATATTTTCATCCTTAGCCTCTTCATTATGTCTCTTGTTCTTCCCAATTAACGTGGCAAATTTCCTGCTAGCTGGAGGATGGTTGCTTCCCATTCTAGATATTACATTTTTAAGTACTATAAATTTATTTATTTATTACTGGCATTTGTACCCCGTCTCTTTTCTACCCCTGAAGGGGGACTCAGGACGGCTTACGTTAGTAACGGTGCAAGACCACTACATCACAATTACAATAATATAACACAATCAAATACAAAACAATCATACTGACAATAAAAGAATTGTCAGTATTTCAAGGTATATTATTATTGGCTAGGATTTTGTATGGGATAGTTAGGGTGCTGTAGTGAATCCCAGACTGATGCATTCATTCATATCTGCTGCAATCGACAAGAGTCTGTTCCCCAATTGCTTGGGAAACTACATCCTTCCTTCAATGATTTCTAGGTAGGTGGACAAAAGCAGAACTCTAGGGAGTGTGGGATTGTCAAACAACCCAATCAACTGAAGAACAGACCTCCATCTATTGCAGTAGCTGCTTCCTCATGGTTTGGGGAGTTGGTCCAGGATTCATTCCATAGCACCCCAACTACATTCCTAACACATATAGATTCTGCTAAGTAAAGGTAAAGGTTTCCCCTTGACATTAAGTCTAGTCATGTCCAACTCCGTGGGGTGGTGCTCATCTCCATTTCTAAGCCGAAGAACCGGTGTTGTCCATAGACACTTCCAAGGTCATGTGGCTGGCATGACTGAATGGAGTGCCGTTACCTTCCCACCAAAGCAGTATGTATTGATCTACACACATTTCCATGCTTTTGAAGTTGTAGGTTGGCAGAAGCTGGGGCTAACAGCTGGAGCTCACCTCGCTTTCCAGATTCGAACCTCCAACCTTTCGGTCAGCAAGTTCAGCAGCTCAGCATTTTAACCCGCTGCACCACTGGGGGCCTTGTAGATTCTGTTAGGCATACATAAATATATGTCATCTTTGTGAACTGCTGTAGTTTGTTTTCCTGTGTTACAATTTTTTTTATTTTCCAGAAATAAGTGGAGTGCCCTTTTGCTTGAGATCATTGGCTGTTATTTTCCTTTAATTTCATCGTGGTTTAAATTCCTTTGCTCATTTGAAAGTGAAATAGTCAAATTTGAACGAAGAAGTTGATGCAGAACATAAGCTGTGATTGATTCCACTCCCCTCCTTTTTGTTCCAGAGAATACAGAAGTAGGTTCACGAGTGAAGAAAGCCTTATGTTCTGCATGAGAGTCATGGTTGGCGTTATCATTCTGTATGACCACGTTCATCCTGTGGGAGCTTTTTCCAAGGCCTCCAAGATAGATGTAAGAATAACGTAGAACAGAGTTTTATGGTTCTCGGCAAAAAACTATCATGGGTATTGTCAAGAGGGCGCTCAATGTGTTAGTCATGAGCTGTTTTCCAGCCTAAGAAAAATAGTAGAATAACCGTGGCAAATGCATATTAACAAATCCACATCTGCTGATATGATGTATGCCGAGGGAGAGGGCAGGCAAACGGCAGGGGTTTGTAAGCACACATTCACTCTTGTATATACCTGTTCTCTGCTTCAAATGCTTTCCCTGAGTTCACTTGTCAGTTCATAAACTGGCTGCAGTAGGAGAGCATAAAGGGGGCATCAGGAGATTGAGGGGAGGCTAGGTTGCTGTGAGTTTTCTGGACTGTATGGCCATGTTCCAGAAGCATTTGTCCTGACGTTTCGCCCACATCGATGACAGGCATCATCAGAGGTTGAGGGGTCTGGTGGAAACTAGGCAAATAGGGTTTATATATCTGTGGAATGTCCAGAGTGGGAGAAAGAACTCTTGTCTGCTTGAGGCAAGTGTGAATGTTGCAATTGGCCACCTTGATTAGCATTTAATGGCCTTGCAGCTTCAAAGACTGGCTGGTTGCTGCCTGGGGGATCCTTTGTTGGGAGGTGTTTGTGAATTTCAATGGCTTCTCTGTGTAGTCTGACATGTTGGTTGTTAGAGTGGTCCAACATTTCTGTGTTCTCAAATAATATGCTGTGTCCAGGTTGGTTCATCAGTTGCTCTGCTATGGCTGAATTCTCAGGTTGAGTTAAACTGTAGTGCCTTTCATGTTCCTTTATTCAATATTATTTGAAATTACAGAAATGCTGGACCACTCTAACAACTACCATGTCAGACTATACGGAGAAGCCATTGAAATCCACAAGCATGTGGACAATTTCAACAGAAAGGAGGAAACCATGAAAATGAACAAAATCTGGCTACCAGTATTTTTTTAAAAAAACCTCTAAAATCAGGACAGTAAAGAAAGAGCAGCAGTAAAAAAAACCCAGGGGAATAGTATAGTAATATGTGGGCTTTTTACTCACACGTAGATTATGTTTTTAAAGAAATGAATGTATCTAACCAGTAGTATTTATTCTTGAATGTGTTTTCCCCCTAGATGAAGGGTTGCATAAAAGTTTTAAGGGAAGAGCCACCAGACACAGTTGAAGGACTTTTAAATGCTCTCAGGTAAGTATTTCTTTAATAATTATTCTTTAATAATCTTATTCCTTTATATTTATGATAAGTGTTTCAAAAGAAAACTTAAAGTTGACAGATTGCAATTTGGAGTACCTCTCTTGTCTGTTGTTGGTACAGATGGGAGTTGTTGTTGCCACATGAGGTATAAGTGGGACAGAACCAGGATGAGTACTAGAGCAAAAACAGACTGTGTACTGGTTTAGAAGTGTATGTGGGTATTCACAACCAGAGCTTTGAAACATTTTGAGGACTGACCTAGAATTCTCCAGACCAGTGGTTCCCAACTTGTGGTCTGTAGACCACCAGTGGTCCACAAGAACTAAAATATGGTCCGCAGCCTCACCATTACTACACCATTGCAACGAGAGCGACTGGTCTTGTGAAACTCTCTTATAGCGTCAAGACTTATTAAAAACGGTTTTCTGTGAGTGAGAAGATGAATGGCATATGTTCTGTATCAGAAACTAGAACTGATGTGGTCTATCCAATATAATTTTCTGAATCAGCACCCCAAATAACCAAACCGAATCTAAAGTTGACCAAAAACTGATTCATAACCCTTTTGGTACTAAATGTTGGAGAGTGGTTGGATCCTGAGCTAACAGACAAGGTATTTTTGCTCTTCAGCTGGAAAGGAGATGTACTTGCAGTATCTAGAAGCAAGGATGCACTATTGTAGCACGGACAAGCAACTTGACAGTTTTAATATTTGCAGATTTGATTATTTATGAATTGGATTAAAATATTCTAAGTATCCCTAGGTCTTCCGGTAGGACTTATGATCACCTTCCTCCTGTCATGCTGGAAAGACTAGTTATTTCTAGAGCAAATATCTCTCTAGGGATCTTTAAGCCATCTAGTTCAATTCTGTAGTCAGCCTCCAGCAAAAGTCAACCATAGTTTCATGCTGAAAGACCTAGAAGTTCATGGAGAGGTGGATTAAACAAACAAAGCAATTTCTTCATTTCTGGCTTTTCATTTTCATCGGGTCCAGTGCCCCTAACGCAAGTGAATGTGGAGGGCAGACTGTCTGTATTTTTCTTTATAAAAAGTCATTCTGAGTCAACATACATAATATCTATCTGGTTGATCCGTACTTTGTCAAAGCAGTGAATGAAACTTGAAGGTGAGAAGGTAATTCTGGCTCACATTCATATGATGGAGTTTTAACTGTCCCTTTTGTTACTTCCAGGTTCACCACGAAACATCTGAATGATGAATCAACTTCAAAACAAGTTCGAGCTATGCTTCAGTAGCGCCCTCCTTTGACAAATGGACTTTTGTATTATTTAGAGAACATGTTTGTTTACATAATTTAATAGTGTGTGGTGTTAATACATATGCGTAGTTTACATAATAGAACAACTGGTTTCTTCCTGTTGCTGTAATATGTGGACTTTGTATCAATAACATGACTGACTGACTATAGGGCACAGCAACCATTTATATGGCTAGTCTTGCTACTATTCAACGGTTTTAAAAGGTACCTTTAATTTGAATATATAAATAACATTGTCTATGTGCCTTGCTTTCTTGTTGGTTGGTTGGTTGGGTTTGTTCGTTTGTTTTTTGTGGAAGTATCCAGAAGTTTTTTGTTGTGGCCTCTGAGCAGTTCTACAAATGGACACGTGCCTATCATAGAGCTTGGAAACATCATTTTTTGGGGATGTAACTTCCAGAATCCTCTGGACAAATGACTAGTAGAGGCATTTGTTGGCGATTCTGGCAGTTGTAGTCTCAAGAAAGTCAATGGTTTCAAGTTCTGGCTTGTAAAGACCTTGGAGTACAGAATTGTGTACAGGCTGATAGGACTTGATCAGTCTCCCCTCAACTCAATCTGTAGCCATTGAGTGTATCACACAATGGATAACTGAGTACATTACTCCCTTTAACACTAATACACAGATTGTGTAGGGTGTTGAGGTCCTCTGTTTTGGTGAAAGAAGTTTCCTTTTCCTAATAACTTCACCAGGTTCTGCACTGGGGGCCACCATTTTTTAAAAACAAACAAACAAACATTGATATTTCTGTAGCTGTATATCTGCAAAGAACCTCTTCACAAATGCGTGTAATATGAATTCTTGATACAAAGAAATACTGGCCCAGTTCAGATGTATATATGTTGGATTATTAAGCCAAGATGTGCAAAAGCCTTGTGCCTGCACACTCCCTAACTGTATCATGTATTCCCTCCTTTTTCTCAACATGCCACAATTCAGCAGTTCACATCACTGTTTCATTCAGACTGGGAATCTCTCATTTCTGAAGTTCAGTGAAGCCCAGCTTTTAAACTAACCAAACCTTTAAAGATTGCAAGGGCAAAATGTTGGAGAACAAAGCTCTTGCCTATCTCAACTGAAGCCAAAATAGAACATACGTCTGGATCAGGCCAATATGTGGGACTGCGCAGAAGCCCAGCAAGAGATGGGCAGCACTGCTGTATATATCTTTGCCTGGTTTTGTATGCTCTTGTCATAAATTGCACTGAGATTGGCTTTGTTCTATATGAGATTCCTTGCTTTTCTCTTTATGCTTTCTCTCTACTGCTCAGAGAGCTCTGCATGCGATGGGGGATGCCACTCATATTTATTAACAACATGATGGACCGGGCTTGGAGTTCACACTTTATCTTGCCTTGGAAATCTATGGATTCAGGCTTAGACTCAGAACTAGGCCTCCCAGCTCATCTGATCTATAACTCCCAGTAAAGTCAGTTGAGACCCATGTGGAAGAAACGTTCCCCAGAACCAATTATTTTTGACATCATTGACTGAAAGATTTATTTAGTGGCATCTTCACATCATTTGATGCTCACTATGAGCCATTGAAACCGCTAGCTCAGTAACCTCTTGTGTTTTGTATATTTCAATGTTTTGAGATTCCTTCCAGTTTCTGTTGAGCCTCCTGACAGGATATTAGAAAATTCCAAAATAAAAAAATAAGCAGTTTTCTGTTTTTCAGCTCCTGTATTTGAAATAGCGGGTCAAATCTTGGTTATGTTTGTGGTGTAATAAGTGGGTAGAGAAAATTCCAGAGATTTTGTGACCTTGGGAAACATACATCATATCTTGTTTTTAACTGGCTTCATTGCTGTGATATACTTGTAATTTTCCTCCTTTCCTGCCCAAACTTCTTGGTTTTGGGAAATTACTCTGAAAACTAAGTATTTCCTTTCCTGGCAGCAACCATGTCCCATAGATAACATATTTGTCTAAGTTACTTTCAGTATTTTACAGTTTTACTAGAAGGAAATCAGTTCATAAATTCCTGGTTAAATAAACAGCAGCCCATTCATTTTACGTATAATGAAACAAAATTTCTAGAACCAAATATTCTTTAAACTTTATTTCTGAGTCCTAAAATTGTTTAATGTTTAAGAATATCAGTGTGTTCAAATTGCCATTGCTTGTTTTTAGCTCAGGTGTTTCATGCCACCCACCTATAGCAACATGAGAATGAATGTTATTGCTGGTAACAGATGCAGTGCTTTTCTTAAGTTCAGAGACTCAGTGCAACTCAACTTTAGGACACACATTTTACATAGCACTAATGTTTGGGGCCGCAGTGGCAGAGCGGGTTAAACTGCTGAGCTGCAGAACTTGCTGACCAAATGATCAGCAGTTTGAATCCATAGAGTGGGGTGAGCTCCCATTGTTAGCCCCAGCTTCTGCCAACCTGGCAATTCAAAAACATGTAAATGGGAGTAGATCAATAGGTACCACTCTGGCAGGAAGGTAACAGTACTCCATGCAGTCATGCTGGCCACATGACCTAGGAGATGTCTACTGTTAATGCCGGCTCTTTGGCTTAGAAATGGAGATGAGCTCCACCCCTCAGAGTCGGACTCGACTAGACTTAATGTCAAGCGGAAGCCTTTACCTTTAACTTCATGTTTGTACATTACGGTTTCCCTCACTTGTAGCAAGTGTTACGTTCCAGAACCACCCACAAAAAGTGAAAATCCGCGAAGTAGGGACACTATATTTATTTTAATATTTATACATTATTTTAGTAGTTATACACTATTTGAAGTCTTTATAAACCTTCCCCATACACTTATACACTATTTTCCTTTACCTTATAAACAAAATCCTTCAGTCACTTTAGAAAGCGCGTCACTTCCATTGGGCATATATAAGAAGCCCGCTGGCCTCAGAAAGGAAAAACTGCAAAACAGCAAGTCCGTGCAAAGCAAACTGCAAAGTAGCAAGGGATTACTGTACATAGCACTTGTTTTCACTTCTACCTCAGTGACATTGCAGGTGCTTATTTCAAGTTAATAAAGGGTTAAGCAACAGGCAAAACATGATTCCATTATGTCAGAGTTAATTTGTTTACAACAGTGGTTCTCAACCTGTGCGTCCCCAGGTGTTTTGGCCTTCAACTCCCAGAAATCCCAGCCAGTTTAACAGCTGTTAGGATTTCTAGGAGTTGAAGGCCAAAACATCTGGGGACCTACAGGTTGAGAACCACTGGCTTATAAGAAAGCCATTCAATTCCAATTTATTGCTGTGTTCATCAGCTGGCCTTTATGTTTCAATTCCACATTTTCAGGCAGTAAAGTTTCTGCAATGAGCTGCATTTCTCTTACTACAGAGGAGAATCCCCAATCAAAGAACACTTTTGCCTGTATCATGAACATAATACAGCTGTGATGCTGTTTGCTTATACAGGGTTTTTTTTTTTTTTAATGAAAATGCTAGCTTTTGGATATGGTAGAGTTTTCCATATTCCTTTGCTGTTGTTCCAAATTACCCAGGATCTTTGCAGACTGATTTGCATATCTGTATTTGAATTGGTGGAAACTTGATGACATAGACAGGTAAGATGTTTTAGGCTCACTATAAACCCAAAAGCTACATATTTCAGATTAGTCATGCTGATGTTGGTTTGGACTAAGCTTTTTGAGTTCCAAGCTTTCTTAGTGCAAATTGCTTGGGGCAAGGATTTATATCTCTCCTTTAATTTGGACAGGAAGCTTTTCTAGCTGTGAACCAGATTCTGTTCTGAAATAACATGTGATAATATATGTTATAGCGTACATTTGATTGCATATAAAAATGAAAACCTAGGCTGCTCTTGACATGTTCAGAGGAATTGGTCATCGTGACAGATATCTTATATCGAGAAGGAATCCAATCATAATGAGAGAGTATTCTGCTAACAAAGAATGAAGAACTTCAACACAGGGTGTATCAACACTATAAAAGTAATGCAGTTTGACACCTCTTTAACTTCCATGACTCTGCTATGTAATTTGTAATTATTGGGCATTTCCCTTGTTTCATGGAGCCCCGGTGGGTTTAACTCTTGTGCCAGCAGAATTGCTGACCGTCAGGTCAGTGGTTTCAATCCAGGGAGAGCATGGATGAGCTCCCTCAGTCAACTCCAGCTCCCCATGCAGGGACATGAGAGAACACCCGGGTGTCCCCGAGGTAACGTCCTTGCAGACAGCCAATTCTCTCACACCAGAAGCAACTTGCAGTTTCTCAAGTCGCTCCTGTCGTGAAAAACAAACCATGTTTCATGCAAATACATTATGTGTGCCATTCTCCTGACCAATGAAATTTCCCATCAGACCCATTAGGTGTTTGCAAAATTTTCTGTGCAGAGTGGAGGGACAATCTTGAACAGATTTGGGTTTTTTTAATGGGGAAGGAGTGGGAACTTTCTCACAAAAGATTAGCTTCAGCACTTGGATAGAAATGGTGATGAGGGGACTTGGCCCAGGAAATCAAGGGTATGAAATTATGCAAGTGCTCACTATCCTAGATAATATAAACAGCAGATAAAATTCATACTTGTCCTCCAAGCATGGTGTGTTTCAAGACTTTTACATAATAAGGTTTATTCCTGATTCTTTACACAGATTCACCTGAAAGACCATGAAATAAATAGTATGTTTCATTATGGCACAGATGAAATCAGATGTTTTACAGGCCTCTTCCAACTCTTTGAATATTCTGTCATTTCCATACCATGAATTTAAGATATGAAAGCAAAGACCTTCAAAAATAAAATCTGTGGTTGTTGCAAGGATTCAGGGACACACCTTATTCTTTCCTATACAAGCAAATGTGCAACCATGTTTTCTTATCATTATACTATCCTGCTAATCCATGGCTTTATGACTGCAGAGACAAGAGGTTTAATGCCCACACTAAGGCTTTCATACTCTGGAAGCATGGCCACTTAGTTCCATCTTTCGGTGAGATAGAGTTTGAATAATAACCTTTTTGAATCAGTTGTCATTTTGCCAAGGTTACCATTCCCTTTTGTCTCCTACTAGACCAGTCTGCAACATTGCCCAGGAAAACTTGTAGAATCATAGAGTTATAGCACTCCCAAAAAATGTGCATCCAGCTCAATCCAAGATGTTCCTCCTTTCTTTCTCTTATCACACAAAAAACCATGACTTTGCATAGGAATATATTTTCTTGTTCAGATAATTTGTTTCCTGCACAAAAGAGCCATGTGCATATTTGTCAAGAATTTGTCCTGAACTGCAAAGATTCTTGCCAGTCCAGCGTTATCAGGGTTTCTCAAAGTTTTAAAAACATGCTTTACAGCAGATTATCAAATATTTTTGAACATTTGTTCTGTCTGGGTTGCTGTGAGTTTTCTGGGCTATATGGCCATTTTCCAGAAGCATTCTCTCTTGACATTTTGTCCACATCTATGGAAGGCATCCTCAGAGGTTGTGAGGTCTGTTGGAAACTTGGCAAGCAGGGTTCATATATCTGTGGAATGTCTAGGGTGGGAGAAAGAACTCTTGTCTGTTTGAGGCAAGTGTGAATGTTGCAATTGGCCATCTTGATTCTATCTCTAGCATAAAGATCCAATGAATACATCCTTATGCAATCATGGACCAAAGGGATAACCACTGGTGTAACTCATAGCTACACTGGCATAATGTCTCAACAGGATTCCAGCCATGGACACTTAGGAATGCCAGCCCCAACTTTCCTGTGACATCAGATTTCTTCCAGAGTTATAAAGCTGACAAACCTAAACCTAGCTGAGTACTAGCTCTGTATCCTTTTATTGTTTGCTCTGTCTTCCTCTATGTATGGACACATAATCCATGAACAGAGGCTTTTTGTGTGATTTTTACACCCAGAAACATGTATCAGAAGTCTTCATTGATAAAAGTTCTTTCCTTTGAAGACACCATCCAAACCTGGTGGAAAGGACACGCAAGGAGGAACAGCATGGTTGTGTGTTTAGTATGTTTGGTTTTTGAATACCCTAATAGACTCATCTGATCCACAATATTAAAAGGGATTGGGTGTGACTGAATTCACTCAAATGGCAAATGAGCAAGCTTGACAGGAGCAGTTGGTAGTGGGGCTTGAATTTCATGTGTGAAGGTTGCACTAAATCTTAAGTTCCGTATCCCTCAGTGCCAACCTACCCACCAAATCTGCAGACTGCCTCAACCAATATTTCTATCTGCAGATGATGACACAATGAATGTACCCCAAGTACCAGCCACACACTTTGCTTTTTGTCAAGGCCAATGTTTTCAGAGATCACAAAATACATGGTGTGAATGTTGACCTGAAAAGCCTATCCTCCAAATCTGAAAATTATTCACCTGAAAAGCCTATCCTCCAAATCTCCTAAAAACTGTAGATAGTATTAGGCTGTTTTGTTTTGTGACAGCTGTGTTCAAGTTGTTAATCTAGAAGCAATTAAAACACCGAGGCTCGGGGTTTCAAATTTATTCAATTCTGGGTTGCTGTGAGTTTTTCAGGCTATATGGCCATGTTCCAGAAGCATTCTCTCCTGACATTTTGCCTGCATCTATGGCAGGCATCCTCAGGGGTTGAGAGGTCTGTTGAAAACTAGGCAAGTGGGGTTTATATATCTGGAATGTCCAGGTGGAAGAAAGAACTCTTGTCTGTTAGAGGCAAGTGTGAATGTTTCAATTGCCCACCTTGATTAG